ATATTAACATGGATTCAGTTTTCAGATATTAAGCCAACCTTGTATTCCTGGGGTAAATCCCATTTGGTCATGGCACATTCTGGATTCTTATTTATCTCTGTATGCATGCATTCTGCCTCTGACACTAGATGATAAGCTCTGAAATTTTGGAAGGAGCATAATTTTCTTTTTTTAATCCTCACCTAAGGATATTTTTTCCACTGATTTTTTTTTTTTTTTTAGAGAGAGAGTGGAAGAGAGGGAGGAGGGGGAGTGAGAGAGAGAAACATCCATGTGAGAGAGACACATCAATTGGTTGCCTCCCAAATATGCCCCGACCAGGTCCAGGGATTGAGCCTGCAACTGAGGTACGTGCCCTTGACTGAGAATAGAACCTGCAAGCCTTCGGTCTGCAGGCTAACGCTCTAACCATTGAGCAACCAGCCAGGGCAGGAGCATACTTTTTAAATAATTATTTTTAAAGACTGTAAATTTTGGTTTAAAAAAACTTTTTTTTCATAGTACACTTTTTCAGCAACTAAAAATTCAAGCTTAGCATTTATGTAGTAAGAATCATTAAAGTGGAAGCCACGACGTTAAATTTTAGGTGTCAACTTGACTAGGCTATGGTGCTGGCCTCGGGTACTAGTCTAGATGTTGCTGTGAGGGTAACTGCAGATGTGACCGGTATCTAGAATCAACTGACTTTATTTTCTTTAAATATTTTTTTTTATATTGTCTTTTTTAAAAATATATATTTTATTGATTTTATATAGAGAGGAAGGGAGAGGGAAGGATAGAGAGCCAGAAACATCCATGAGAGAGAAACATCGATCAGCTGCCTCCTGCACACCCCCCACTGGGGATGTGCCCGCAACCAAGGTACATGCCCCTGACCAGAATCGAACCTGGGACCTTTCAGTCCACAGGCCGACGCTCTATCCACTGAGCCAAACCGGTTAGGGATTTAAATATGTTTTTATTGATTTGAGAGAGAGAGAGGGAGGGAGAGGGAGAGAGAGAAACATCGATGTGGAGAGCAACATTGATCGGTTGACTCCCATACACACTCCAACCTGCAGACTGGGAATGTGCCCTGACTGGGAATCGAACTGGCAACCTTTTGGTGCCTGAGACAACACTCAACTGAGTCACACTGGCCAGGGTTCTATAATCAACTGACTTTAAGAAAAAGAGATAAACGCTTGATCATGTGGGGGGCTTCATCCAACCAGTTGAAGACCTTAAGAGCAACAACTGAGGCTGCCTGCAGAAGGAATTCTGCCGCAAGACTACACCACAGAAATGCCGCCCGGCCGCCAGCCTGCCCTACGAAGTGCAGACTTGCCAGCCCACGCGATCTCATGAGCCACTACATTATCCATATTCTGTTTCTCTGGAGAACACTGACTCACAGCCACCAAAGAGCGTGTGCTGTTCACGCTCCCTCTGTGCCGCGCCCCGCAGCGTGAGTGACAGGCTGATTTTAGGGCTTCTGTCCTGCCGCTCGCCGGAGGCACCACAGTCCCTGGGCACAGGGTCGGAGTCCATACCCTGGCACAGAGCGCCCTGCACGGCATACAGCAGGTGCTCAGTAATGTCACGACTGTAATAGAGAGAGAAGAGATGCTATGGGACAAAAGAACACAGCCCCCATCACATAGGAAATCAGAGGGCCTACATCGTAAGACAAAATCAAGAAGTGAAAGCAATCCGTCTGCTCTCAATGAAGCAGAAAAAAAGAAAAGAAAAAAAAAACACACTGGAATTTTCCCAAGTAACAGCATTACCGCCTTGAAGTGTTTAGAAAAGTACTGGTAGCATTTGACTTCTCGGTCTCATGACGTCATCATTAAACAGAGCCACATTGTGGTGGGCTTTTTTTCCTGGTACTAAACGTATTTATTACAAATTTCAGGAACCTACTTATTTTTAGCTAAAGGATCAAACTGTGGCAGAACCAAATTCTTTTTTTTATTAATATGTTTTTATTGATCTTTAGAGAGAGAGGAAGGGAGAGGGATAGAGAGACATAAGCATCGATGAGAGAGGAACATCATTGGTCGGCTGCCTCCTGCACGCCCCCCTGGGGACCGACCCCATAACCTGGGCAGGTGCTCTGACCGGGAATGGAACCAGCGACTTCTTGGTTCCTGGGTCGATGCTCAACCACTGAGCCACACCGGCCGGGCCAAATAATTCTTTTTTTTTTTTAATATATTTTATTAATTTTTTTACAGAGAGGAAGGGAGAGAGATAGAGAGTTAGAAACATCGATGAGAGAGAAACATCGATCAGCTGCCTCCTGCACATCTCCTACTGGGGATGTGCCCGCAACCCAGGTACATGCCCTTGACCGGAATCGAACCTGGGACCTTTCAGTCCGCAGGCCGACGCTCTATCCACTGAGCCAAACCGGTTTTGGCAAATAATTCTTTATTAGGCAGTAAGTTCCATATTCTTAAGTCCCAACTAATGCGCCTAAATGCTAAGGGAAACTTTTATAACTACTTGACAGGCAAGGACTTATTACCCATTTTTTAAAAACCGCTCTTGCCACCGGACCAACCCATGTGATGAGCAAATGTACGCTTAATATAACAAAAATTTGGAGAAGGATGATATTAGCTGCTCAGGACTCTGATGACCATTCTGAATTTTTATTTATTTTTAAAATATGTTTTTATTGATGTCAGAAAGGAAGGGAGAGGGAGAGAGAGATGGAAACATCAATGATGAGAGAGAATCACTGATCGGCTGCCTCCTGCACGGACCCACACTGGGGATCAAGCCCACAACCCAGGCATGTGCCCTGATAGGGAATCGAACTGTGACCTCCTTGTTCATAGGTCGATGCTCAACCACCGAGCCACGCCAGCCGGGCCATTCGGAATTTTTATGTGTTTACGTCTTAACATCTGAGCAAAATGAATTACTCCTATTTTTCAATTTGCTCAAATACGTAGCAGGAAATGAACTAGATGCGCCAGGTACTAAGCTGAAGTGAATTAAACGGTCTTTATAGCATGTCCATTTCTTCCTGGAGAGAGGAAACAGGCCTAACGACTCGTATCAATGTGGCGATCCCTTTCAAAAGATGGGCACGCGGGCATTAAAAACCACCACCTCAGCACGGTCACACCTTTGCTAAACAAATGATTGTCGGCTTTTAAAGAAGCAAAGATCTGAGAGAAGGATTCAATAGCATGTTTAGCTTCTAACTAAAAAATGACAAAGACCTACCCTGGCCGGAGTGACTCAGTTGGAGCATCATCCTGGACACTGAAAGGTGACAGGTTCAATTCCCGGTCAGGGCACACACCCGGTTTGCAGGTTCGATCCCTGCCTGGGGTGTATAGAGGAGGCAACCAACTCACATCAATGTTTCTTTCTCTCTGCCTCTCCCTTCTCACTCCAATAAAACATATCCTAGAGTAGGGATTAAAAATAAAAAGACAAAGACCTGGCCCTGGCCCTGACTAGGTAGGTCAGTGGGTTAGGGTCCTGATACGCCAAGGCTGCAGGCTCAATCCCTCCCTGGTCAGGCAGGGCACATACCAGAACCAGCCGACGAATGCACAAGTAAGCGGAACAACAAATCAATGTTTCTCTCTCACTAAAATCAATAAAAATTAAAAAGAAAATATGACAAAGACCTAACCAAATGCAGAATAGTGCTATTTAAACAGCTTCCTGTGCGAATGCAGACGTGCTATAGAGGAACGAACTCCCACCACACCTTCTGTTACTTAAATGATTAGTATTCATAGCTTAACAAATCCATCACCTAAGAACAACGCGTACATTAATCATTGTGCATTGTTTGCAATAGTAAAAGACTGAAAAACTCCCAAATATTCATCAATAGGAGATTATGTTAAAAAAAAAAGGGGGGGGGAGCCCTAACCGGTTTGGCTCAGCAGATAGAGCATCGGCCTGCGGACTGAAGGGTCCCAATGTTTCCCGCTCATGCACATACAAAGCTAAGGGTTTCCTTATTTATTTCTTTATATTGTGAATCCTCACCAGAAGATATTTTTCCATTGATTTTTAGAGAGAGTGGAAGGGAGGAGTAGAGACAGAGAGAAACATCGATGTGAGAGAGACACATTGACTGGTTGCTTCTCGTACACACCCCGACCGGGGCCAGGGATTGAGCCTGCCACCAACATACGTGCCCTTGACTGGAATCGAACCCGAGACCCTTCTGTCCGAGGGCTAGTGCTCTAAACACTGAGCAAAGAGGCCGGGCGGGTTTCCTTAAAAAAAATACAAAAACCAAAAAGCAACTTGTGCTGGGCGCTGAGCCCATCACCCCTGGGACAGAGGACAGTGCTGTGTCCTGGGACAGCGGCTCCACAGGCAGGGGAGTCTCAGACCTCACACTGCGCCCCTGGGGGAGCCGACTCTGTGCTTGCTCTGTCGGAACCAGAACTCAGGATAAGACCTTGACACCAACCCACTCAGACTCCTCAGCAGGGACAGGACTCTGAGTTCTGTTCCAGTTTTGATGCAGAGCAGCCTCCATTCCACAAGTCATCAAGGACAAGTTCAAAATCGAATTCCTTGTGACAGGCAGAGGCTGATGGGTTATAAGAGCACCGCCCTGGCCCGGTGGCTCAGTTGGTTAGAGCGAGTCCCCATGCGCCAAGGTTGAGGGTTTGGTCCTCGGTCAGGCAGGGGACAGACAAGAAGCAACCAATGAATGCATAAATGGAACAAACCGATGTTTCTTTCTCTCTCTCTCTCTCTCTCTCTCTCAAATCAATCAATTAAAAAAAAACTTTTTAAAAGAGCCCTAGCCCGTCCGGCATGGCTCATTGGTTGAGCATCGACCTATGAACCAGGAGGTTCAATTCCCCATCAGGGCACATGCCCAGGTTGCAGGTTGGATCCCCAGTGGGAGGCGTGCAGGAGGCAGCTGATGGATGATTCTCTCTCATCATTGATGTTTCTCTCTCTCTCTCTCCCTTCCTCTCTGAAATCAATAAAAATATATTTAAAAAATAAAAAAGCCCTACCTCTTGGGTCATCCTGGCCAAACCAATTCATTTCTCTGGGCCTCCGTTTTCTTGCTGGTGAAATGAGTGGGTCTTGGCCACGTTCTCTCAAAGGTCCCTTTCAGCTCTAAACACTGTCATCCCATGAAGAGCCAGGTCAATGTGAAGATCGGATAAAGCGTGAGAGATGCCACTAGAAGGGGGCACATGTGCAAGTTCACTCAGATTTCCAAGTACAAAGGTTCCGGGTTCCTGTTTTCTGTATTTCGCCTTCAACATAAATAATTTGGTCCACTTGATGCAAAGACTTCTCGCATACAATATTTCCGACTAAAACTGAGTAACAATTAGGTAAAATTTTAAAAAATTGGTAGCGTGGAGAGGATTGTTTAAGACTACAGATACTGAGTGTGTTGGCTAAGAAAAGTTTTTGGTGCTGCTTTTTTAATATACTTTTATTCATTTCAGAGAGGAAGGGAGCGAGAGAGAGAGAGAGAGAGAGAGAAACATCAATGATCAGAGAGAATCACTGATCAGCTGCCTCCTGCACGCCCCCTACTGGGGATCGAGCCCGCAACCCGGGCATGTGCCCTGACCGGAATTGAACCGTGACCTCATGGTCCATAGGTCAACGCTGACTGGGCAGAAAAGTTTCAGTTTGGTCCACTACCCTTTCATTATCATCATCCAAGATCCATACTTATATCAGTATCCTTCGGGGAGCAGCGTTCCAGTGAACTGCCCACCCTAATTCCCATAGGTGAAGGAGGCGGCAGCCAACCACCGAAAACTCCACGCTCAGCAAAGCACGCTCCATTTCCTGATCGATAAAAGCTAAGTGATTTCAGAAAAAAAAAAAAAAATTTCACAAGTACTTGTGCTTATTTTCATCTATTAACAAGCAAAACGTGTGCTTCCTTTAGCGCCGGTTTCACAGTCATGATTAGCTAGAAGCAGTGGTTCTCAACCTTCCCAATTTCATTGTTACAAATTGAACATAATTAAAGCATAGTGATGAATCACAAAAACAATATGTAATTATACATGTGTTTTCCGATGGTCTTAGGCGACCCCTGTGAAAGGGTCGTTTGCCCCCCCAAAGGGGTCGCGACCCACAGGATGAGAACCGCTGACTAGAGCGTGATTAAATCTCGAATGAGCCACAGCTTCACCCCAGCCGGTGCTCAAACGGCTCCAAGCACATGCATGTCCGCAGGGCTCATCCTCTGGCACAGAAGCAGCGAGGAGCGCGGCTCCGGCAGACGCTCTGCGGGGCGCAGGTTGACTGTCTGGTCCCCGCTTTCACCTGGCACGGCCCGGCCGGACGGACGCACTGCGGGAACCGGCGCCTCACATTAGCAAGTCTTTATCCGACTGCCCAGCCCTGACACCTCGCCAAAGTCGCCGCCGGCCTCACCAGGGCCTGAGCCAGGGAGGAGAGGGCGGCCAGGGGTTCCCTAAAGTCCTGGAGGAAGCAAGGAACAGAGCAGCTGGACGCGCACCAGCAGCTCAGGACTGGCGGGCGCTCCAGCTACCGGCGAGCCTCTCTCCTCTGCTGTCAAAATCCCCCTGCAACTCGGACGCCTCGACCACATTTGTGTTTTGAGTCCATGGCTCCTGAAAGCAAGCAGGTGCCTCTGTCCATCCTCAACACCTGCGCCTGTCCCAGAGGCGTCCCCATCCCAAACCCGGACTCGCTGCGACTCGGGCAAAGGGGCCGCCCAGCGGGGTGACTGTGACCCTTCCAATCCCAACCCTTCCTGCTGAACACTCCCCGTCCCCCGTCCCCCCCGCGCAGCCTCTGGAAACGCAGCAGCACCGCACGCGCATTTGCGGCCTCAGCAGCCCCAGCAGCCATGGGAAACCCAATGCAAACCCGCGCCTGTCCCCCTCGGGCCTGGAGGCTTCGGCCAGGGCCAGCACCCGGCACAGGTGCCTGTCTCCCATGCCAGGCGCGCCTCCCCCAGCCTACAGCCCCCCAGGGAAAAGGGGGTCCGGGCAGGGAAGGAAGGGGACCCGCCCGCGCCCTGGGCACCCCGCCCCTCGGGAGCCGCAGGCCCCGGGCACGCGTCGCTGTCACAGGACAACGTGAGCGCAGGCCGCCCACCGCCGCGACCCCCCAGCCCCTCCACACCCCTGCGCGCCCGCAGCGCCCGGCCGCTCCAGGGTCGCTCTGCAGCGACGGGGGGCCGCTCGGTTCCTAGGGCGCCCAAGGCCCCCCGCCCTCGCGGCGCGCGACCCCCTCCCCCAGCCCGGGGTGGCCCCGCCCCGCCCTCACCGGAATTTGGGCGGGTAGGGGACACCGTAATTGGCTGGGATGGTCTCCCTCCTCCACGCCCCGCGTGTTGTCGGCTGGACAGGACTATAAAAAAGATGTGCCCAGAGTTTTGCCCCCGGAAGTTTGTCTCGTGGGGAGGGGAGGCGATATGACACATCGAGGCTTTGCGATTGTCGGAGTGAGACAGAATCTCTGGGAAATAGATAACATGAGTGCCTGGGGCTACGACCCTTTCATATAGCTCGCCTCGCTACGTGTTCCTTTTTCTTCATGAGAATTCTAGCAAGCCAGTAGTG